GGAAGATAAGTTTTTGAATGTTGTCTTGAATGTTTTTTTTTGTCTTGAGAGAAATAACCTGAATGTTTTCTGACCTTAGAAATTTCTGATCTAAGGATTTTCCGACCAAGAAATGTATTTTGTCTTTAAAAGGTTTTTACCGATTGTTAATGATCATTAACGATCACTAAAAATAAAAAACGACCTACTTTCATTGACGTAACAAGAAACTTTTCAACAACGATCGTTTTTAAAAGTGCTCCTGGTGAATATATGTGTTCACGAAAAATGCCTTGAGAAGCATTGCAAGACAATTTATATATGATCTTTAAATGTTTAAATATACAATTTACAATAAAACAGTTTTATTTTTCATTTCATTAAAAATTTTGAGCATTTTAAAAGTCTGCTACTTCATTCAAGTTTCTTGAGATATTCATACACTTTTTTCTTTATCTAAAATGTATGCTGAATGTTAACTTTTTTAAAATTCGTTTTAATAATTGTATAGTAGTATTTGACTATATGACTTAGGGTTGGATAGGTGCTATAAACCATTTCCGATTTTTCAACCCAACCGGGCCAACTCCCTTTCTTCTTCCCCCCTTTTTATTCTCTTCTTTTCCCATCCCTCTTTCTTCTTTCCCCATCTCCCTTTCTCTTCCCCCTTCGTCTTTTCTTCTTTCCGATCCCTCCTTATGTTATAGAACAAATAAAGGCAGAATACTAAATGTATTTTTACTGCCTAAACTCAGCAGTACCGAATACTTCTTTTCGCTTCGCTATACTACAAAAGGTAGTTTTTATTTGATGCTTCTGAAAGGGCGACGAATATCGGAAACTTGGGGAGGGGTCAGAAATAAATACTTTTTTTTTGGGGGGGGGGGGATTAATTAAATGCAGTTTTTGAAGAAATTCAACATAATTTTTAGACATAAACAACCCCCCCCCCCCTCGGTTTATCCTACTACACCCCTCTCTGCCACACTAGGCTAGGCTCTACCTAAAAGATGCCCCATTATCCTATTGTTTAACTGCTTGAGTGCAATCTTAAACATTCAGATCAAGAATTCCAGCATTCTTTCATCTTTCTCACCTTTACTAGCTAGCACTAAAGGGGCCGTTCACTTATCTTACTTCTCAAACATGTCTCTGAGGACTATAATTCCAATATGCTTTCATCCTTCTCATCTTTAAAGGGACCGTTCACTTATCCTACTTCTCAAACATGTCTCTGAGGACTATAATTCCAATATTATTTCATCCTTCTCACCTTTAAAGGGACCGTTCACTTATCATACTTCTCAAACATGTCTCTGAGGACTATAATTCCAATATTCTTTCATCCTTCTCATCATTTAAAGGGACCGTTCACATATTTGAAAATATTGCATAGAACCCCTAATGTCTTGCACATCTGAGCCCAAGGTTATAATGCAAGGAAAGTTAATTGCAGTTGCGTATACTCTGCGTACATATTGAAACCAGTTCTCTCCGGGCGGTATTTGTAAACAAGAATAGATGCATCAGTGTTTGTTTAGTATCCGAGGAAGATAAAAGCATTGAATTTTGAAAATTTTGATAATTCACATAAAAGCTTCCTATGACCAGAATATTTCATTGATTTTTTATGTGAAAGATGGATCTCATGTCAGGCTGTGACATCCGTCTTGTGTTTACATTACCGCCCAGAGACAGTACACTGCAGTACACAAGATGCGTACACCCCTGAAATCACTTTCCTTTCATTATAACCTTGTCTGAGTCAATCCCCGCTCTCAAAGATATCTGTGAACATTTGTCTCAGACGGATTTAACGGTTCTGGTATTATCCCGGACTCCGGAGATGGTCGACTTACGAACATTTTACACTGATTTGTCGGCAAATGTGTTTAAACAAAAAAAATAGAAAAAGTATAAAGATTGTTGAATCATGATACAGGGTGTCCCAAAATACATGGGAATTCAGTGACAAATTGGATATCGTCTTTGTTATGAATTAGCATTGTAATACCTAATTTCAGAAGCCATATTATTATTATGTCTGCTAGAGTTTATTTTATGAGAAGGGTAAACGATGTGTAAAGATGTGTCTATAATGTCTCCACAAGACAAACCGTGAAGACGGACAAGTTTACTCTGTTTGTATACTGCAATTTTCTTGTTTTACTAAGTACAACCGTTTGCAGTCAAAACATAAATAAACAAAATGTGAACGTAGCAGACGAACTCTTACGGATTACAGCTTTCTCAGTAGGTATCAATAATCAATCAAAGAATTATTTAAAAAGACGATTTCGAATTCGTCACTGAATTCCAATGCTTATTGGGACACCCTGTAGAGTAATGCGTGATTGAATTAAAATAGAATGCATCTGACCCTGGTAAGTTTGGGATGGTCAATATATTACGTTAAAAAAAAATTACATTTAACGAATACCGGCCCAGAAATTAACAGTTTTTGTAATTTTTCAAACGAGTATATTTTCATTCCAATCCATTTCTATCTTTTTTATTCTTAATTCTTCATTATCTCACAAACTAAATTTACTAAATTTTTGTTAATTAAATTTCAATGATGTATTTTTTGTCCTTCTACGAATTTCTATTTTCCACATATCGCAAACAAAAATTTTTAAATATTAGCAATAATTTGCAATAAATATTAAGGATATCAATTAATTGAAAAAAAAAATTCTCATTATAAAAATAGTATTAGAAATATTGTATTTTTCTGATTATACACTTCATGTTTTCTTGCCAGCTTTTATTAGATTTCTAGCGCTTGCTAATTTTAGGAGTTTGCAAAAATTATTTTCTATACAATGATTCATAGTGATAGAGGGGTCTACTTAAAATGTCTGTACTCTGTGTAGATAGGCGTAATTTTATGCAACAAGTCAAAAGACGGAATTTTTCAGAATTTCACACTATGAACTTCATGTATTTAACTACTGTTTCACTTTCTTCTCTCTATTCGAGGAGTAAACAATTGCGGTGTTGGGTTCAAGAAGGTGCATTTCCCCTCTACACCCCCAATAAGGAAGAGGTGAAAATAAAAAATGTGTAAAAATGTTTTCATAGTTTTCTTTATTAAATATACCTACGCATTATTTTTGTATGAATTAAAAACACTTAAAAACACATTGTTACCATGCCAAAAGTACGAAAAAATAAAAATTGATAAATCTAAGGTAGTTAAAAATTAATAGTCAATGAAATATTAAATACAATATATATATGGTTAGTCTGTTTTGATGTTTCGTTTGTCTGTGTCCAATAAACATCAATATAGCTAAACCAATCGGAACCAAATTATGCGTGGGACCTCACATGACCCCTGCAGGGAAGGTTTATGAATGCTCAAAATTACAAACATTTGTGTTGAAAATTTTTGATTTTCGTTATTTGGAAATGCACAAAAAAATATTTTTTAATTCGCGAAATTTTTTTTGTTATTGTTTTTATTTTACAAAAAAAGCAAGATGCTCCTATAAATGCCACAATTAAAGGTTAAAATAGAAGATTCGCGCCCTAAAAGCCTAGTGTTTTTTATATTTAAATAACACACTTATAACTTAACCCCACTATGAGGAGAAAGATAAAAAAGTGCCCTGTATAAAACTTATGCTTTTACGGCAATAATCAATGAAACAAATTATATGTAATATTTATATTTATAATTTTTGTAATATGTAAAAAATCTGGCTCAGAAAAAGTAAAAATTTTTGAAGATTTTGGAAACCCATAATAATACAGAAAATCCACGAAATTTCAAGTGTTACAAATGTTCGAAGAAAAAAATTCGACTTCAAAAATGACGTGAAGAGCCTTAACAACCTAATCTAATATATTTTTCTTCAATTTTGTGACAACTTACATGACCTCGGGAAGAACTATGGCCATTTAAAATTGAAAAATATTGCCTAGAAAAATATTGCCTAGAAAAATATTGCCTAGAAAAAGTGCCAATTTTAGAAAATTTGGAAATCCACGAATTAAAGTTCAACCAGAAAATCCGCAAAATGTCTAGTATTTCAATGTTTGAAGGAAAAAAGGTGACTTATAAAAAGAGCGTGAAGCGCCCTAAATACCTAAACTAATATATTTTTTCTTCAATTTTCAAACATTTTGTTTTGTGTGTAATTTTAACGGGCCTGGAGGTGGTGGGTGCTAATGGGAGGATATGTGCCCTCAACTAAAATACCTGTTATTAACTGCAATAAAACTCAAGGGGGCATCACCCCCATCCTGACCCCCTCCCCCCAACTCTGACCCCTAACGAAAAGGGGTTGTTGCCCCCCCCCCCCGCTTACCCCTCATGACCCTGAATTTCTTTCATAGAACAAAAAGAAATTTGTTTCTATTCAAATATCAATTATTTGTAGAATTCTATTTTCAAAAATTTTAAGAAAACTTTCCTTTTCAGTTTTTAAAAAACTTTCTGCATGAAATAAACCTCCAGTCCCCCCCCCCCCCCCCCCCCTCCTGAACCATGTTTGGAGATAATCAAGAAAGATGCATACAATAAAGTTTCTTTTTGTTGTTTTCTTGTTCTCACTGTATCAGTATATAAAACAATATAATTCATAGAATAACTTGATTTCAGAAAATTTGAAAAATAACAAACATATTGGTTTAAATTAACTATTTTTATATCCTACATATATCTACAACTTTGGACCAAGCTGAAACTCTAATCACAGTAAAGAACATGGTTAAAAGACTACAAGTAAATTCATGTAGTCTTATATTATTTACCTTTTTAACAATATTTACAGAATATTTAAAATTTATGGTTTTATTTACAAAATTCAATGACTAAATCTTTCTATTAAAAAAGAAAACTAAATAGTTTAAAAATCCAGAGCTCAAAGAGTTTATGGAAAATATTTGATGTAATTCATGCAACTCAGACCATTTAGTAAAAGTAAATTCAACCTAAAGTCTGACCGCGTCAACATTGTTGCACCGGCTAGTCCTATAATTGAGTGTCTGCTTTATTAACCCAATGTCCGGGCGATATAGTACAAACTGGGACCGGAAAGGTTGACCCGGCTCGGAAATTCAAATATACTACGGCTGCCCGTGAATTATATAATGACCCCTTTGGTTTAGATTGTGCTGCTTATAGGTGTTTCCAAGAGAATTTTACATAGATTCCCACAGCGAATAATCATTTCAAATTTCCAGATTGATAAAACATTAGTTTTCCTGATAATTTCTTTTAATAAATGCTATTTTTGAAACTTGTAACATCACTTGTTGTTTTTTGCAGTCTATAACCGGCATCTAAGTCTTGACACTAATTTAGATCTCAAATTAGCTATCTATCTGAGGATATGGTTTGTAATATTATGAAATGCTGAGTATTCATTGTTGTTAGTATCACTGGGCAGGACGGGTTCAGCTTCTTTCTTAACTCCGGGTTCTCCTTCACATCCTAGGCTCTTAAACCTCTCATATCCAGACACCTGGAATATAGGCAAATTATAAAGGGACGTTAGGCGTAAGGTTAACCATCCCTTACAGGTTGAATGAGATAACTTCCTAACTTTTTTACAGGGTTACCCACAAAGGTTTCATTCTTTGCAGATAGCAGTGAAAATGATTTTTTTTTAGTTTTTAGTCAGGTTGCAAAGGGTCAGAAAATTATAACTTGATGCAAATGTTCAGTTGCCTTGTATGAAAAATGGAGTTATACTTTTTTAGACATACTCCTAAATTTCCAATTTTGTCAAAAATAGAAGGAAAATATATTTCTAAATCTAACATTTTCATAGAAAGTGCAAAGAAACACTTTTATATTATCATATGAAAATCAACTGTCGAATAGTAAATTGTAGTCAAGTAAATTTCAGAATTATTTTTGTTATAGAAAAATCAAATCCTACTCAAAAATTATGTTAAAACCCGTACCTCTGTTTCCCCCCAGAGCAGCATTGAATTCTCTCTCCTACTGGTATCCCTGGTATCACGGAGTAAATCAGTTCTTGGTTCAACAGGTTTATAATGATGATCGGAGTGGGAGTACCTAGCCTGGGATAGGAGTGCAACCTCACTCCCATACAGAGAGTCGTGTGGAGGTTGGTAGACAGGACTCCCAGATGTATCCGATCCTAAACTAGGACTGGACTGCTGAGAACTATATTCATGACTCCGGGTATAGTCTCCAGCACGAGAGAAGTCTTTAGAGAAGTCTAGAGGTCCGTGGAACATATCTTTGGTGGTTGTGAGGTTGTGTAGAGAATGATCTGAAGGAAGATGGTAGGTTGGAGTAGGATGATTATAAAGATAACTAGGATACAAACTAGACCCGGAGCTGAACCCTGTATTGGTGTGTCCGAGGTATGCCGAGCTCAGGGTGTGAGGATTAGCCTCGTAAAAAGGTTGGGGTTGGGGGGAGGAGGCTAACATCTGAGGATAGTACGCTGCTAGTCCAGGATTAGCTCCGTATGCTAATCCATACTGGAGTCTGCTCTGTACCATGTAGTAATGATATAGCCAGGAGTTAGCTTTCATTACGTCAGCCTCAGCAGAACTATGAAATATCCAAAATTAATTCTAAAAAAAAATATCAAAAAAAAAACTAAATTACAATAAATAGTTAGTAATAAAACAAAAAAAATACTGTTTATCCGACCAGTTTTTAATTTAAAAATTCCTTTAAACTAACTCTAACAAACTAAGTTGATTTTACGAAGACAATCCCTGTAAAATGTGTTTACGTTGGATATTTCTTTTAGTTGAATTAACGTTCACTATTCCTTTAAATTGAAATAACGTTTAATATTCCTTAAAGTTGAATTAACGTTGACTATTCCTTTAAGTTAAATTCACGTTGACTGTTCCTTTAAGTTGAATTTACGTTGACTATTCCTTTAAGTTGAGAAATATTTTATAACTCTTATACAACACGCGCATCTGCCCCTTTAGAAAAAGTAAATTCAACCTATACAAAACATAAAGCCTGACCGCATCAACTTTGTTGCACCGGCTAGTCCTGTCCATAGAGCTTGGTACAGTACAAACTAGGATCGGAAAGGTTGACCTGGCTCGGAAATTTAAATGTACAACAGCTGCCCGTGACAAATACACGTTTTAACAGAATGTCTTAATAACTGTTTAAGAAATTGTGTTCAAATTTCGCAAAAATGGTTTGTCAAAAGATTGAGTAAAATTTAAAGAGGTATTAATTATATCCCTCTAAACTGAATTACCTAAGAATCTGGTTTGTACAAATGATAACTGGAGTTTGGGTCTCCTCCGAGTTATCTTTGACCTGCATCACAGTGTGAACCCATCTGAAAAAAATTGCATAGATTATGATCAAAGAATGTTAGAATGTTAGAATGTTGTGATTTGTGATGTCAAGTTTTTGATCGAAATAGTATCAAGGGACCAAATTTATTGAATTGGAGAATGGTCGCTGAACCCGGTTCAAATACTGAATCACTGATTCAAAGTAAAAGATTTATGAAGATTTGAATCAGTAATTGAGGATTTGAACCGGTGGTAGGTAATTCAGCGACCCTTGATATTTTGAAAATATATCTGTTACAAACTACACCAATCTCAGTTAAATCAATTTAAATATGACAATTATTCCACTTTATATTGGTTATCACTGGTTTATAAATTTAATAGCCATGAAATAAATTCAAGTACTGTTTCTGACTAATGACGTTATTATAGTTTTGTAAGCGAAGTTGGTGACCCTCTATGCAAAGATGACAATGTCCGATTCACAACGGTACCCTTAAAAGCGTTGTCGGATCAAATGTGGAAAAGAAATCAACTTTGAAAACTGATTTATTTCATTTGTGGTTTCTCTGGATACAAAAGTACATGCGCATTTATCACGCGCAAAATAAACAGGAATTCTCAGAATTAAACACTTCTCTAATCCTGGAGAAAACGACAATATCTTCCACATTATTGATTGATAAAAGGTCTCAAGAGTACTGTCGTCAATCAGACATTGCCATCTTTGAATGGAAGATCGTGTGAAATTACGCTTACAGTCCCTTTAAAATGTGGCGAAAGATAATCGATGACTATAGGTTGAACTATCTGAATGATTTGTTTGAAATTAAATGTTTTTTTTACGGTCTAAGTCGTATGTTGCAGTTTTCTCAATTTGTATGAACGATTAGTTATTCGGTATGAGACGTCTTTAACAATTTCTCCTTTTAGGCTCAACAGATATAAGTAAGATTAGTAGCGATAAAACGCGCTTTTTTATCGCATTAAGCCTATACCCCCTTTCATTTTTCGCGAACACTCCCTTTAAATACTTACACAAAGGTTCCATCTTCTTTGAGAAGTCTGAGTAGAAGAATTGATGATTTATCAGACTCCGCTCCAGTTACTGAGATTAAACAAATGTGTCAACAAAAGTTTAAGAAACTTTGAAATAATAGGATAATTATCAAAAATGATTTAGTAAATATACCACAAGTAAAAAAAGGGTTTTCATTGCTTAGCTTATTTTGTAATATCAATTACAATTAATTTCATCCCTTATTTTAGAAATTCAGTCCTATATGTGTTCTAGGCATTTCAAGTGCCTCACTCCCATTTTTAAACTTAACTTTAAATGTTGCTTTCCAAACCGTCATTTTTCTTCATAGATCATAAAACTGGCGCATTTAAACTGTTTACATTAATAAATTTCCAAAAATTTATTATTCTATAATTTTACTTGGCAAAATTTGGGTCTGATCGGTTCAGCCGTATCACGTTTATTGGCTAAAAATCAGTCAGGCAGATAAACATACCTAGTCTGTGCTTGGTTTGCATTTCTCGCATACAATCTGGATGTAGAAGATGATAAAAAGATACTCCCAGTAAATCCTTCCTGTAGTACCCCAGGTGGATCTCTCCACTAAAAATTTAGAAAATAAAAAATTAGAAATATTTTTTTTAAAAAATGTGGAAATTTTTCTGATCAATTTCTAATTGATTTCCTCAATCATCAAATATATCATCAAATATATCATCAAATATATCATCAAATATTAAGGTTGAGAGGGTGTCAAAGGTGTAAAAATCATGTAACTCTTGAAGCACGTTAAATTACTTACTTGTCATCCATATCCACCATTTTCATATCTAAACTATGAACTGTTGTAAATACATTCGTAGCGCCCTACATAAATCATTCATTCATTTAGCTTTTTATAACAAAGAATATGATCTTGCGTAGTATTCTTTTAAGCCAATACTTTCGTGTGCTTTGTATGACCTTTAACAAAAAGTGAGAAAAAAAATTGTGTTTTTAACAAAATTCCAATTTTAAATCTATATATCTTTGCAACCCAATGCCGAACACCTTTTGTATTTAAAACCACGAATTCTGCATAAAAATCAATAACCCTGAGTTTGAAATATCAAAGGTTTACATCATCAGGTTGCAATTTTTGAAAATTTGAGTTTGCGACAAAAACTTAATTCCTTTATCTAAATAATCAATAAACCTGTTAATACAATAGCTTGAAACACTGTTTTGATCTCCAAGTAAATGCAAAAAGAATTAATTCCGTAAAATGATTTAAAGGTTTTTGAACTGAAAAAGTCCAATGAATGAATCCCTGAACAACTATTTCTCTATTCTCCGGCATGGCTAGCGGTGTACACCAAGCAACAAAAACCGGTTCATCCCGGCTACACAGCGGCAGGTCTCCGTGGAAATGACCCTTTACCAGAATCACTTTCTGATCACCAAATCTAAATTTTTAAAAAATTTTATTTTCAAAATGAGAATTATGATGTAGGATTAATATTTCGTCATTGCAATGTAAATTTAAGCAGAGCTGGGAACTTTTGAATGGTGAATATCAGGATTAATGCTTGATCAAATCTTTTTATTAATCTCTAGACTAAATAGTGCTTGTGCTCCTTTCGTTATTAATCTCCAGATTAATTAACCGATCGGGATTAAGGTTATCCCATTCTAAATTTTTCAACTCAGCTCGAGCAAGCACTACAGTACACTAAAAGACTAAATAAGCCAAACGGGACGGTACACTAAATGAATCAGTCCCTTCTTGGAAGATTATTTTTTCATTTCTGAGGATTTACCTCATTTGTCTTCGCGCATTTCTTGATACGTTTATTCTGCAAAGAAAGAGTTGACTTTTTGGTTTAGTTCTTGAATCTAGATCCACCTCATCCTCATCCCTAATAAATAAAATGTTATTTTTTAATAATTTATGTAATTGATTAAACTATTGATATTACGTAAAATTATTTTTCTAACTTAAGCTGTACTCTGAGCACGTGAATGAATATATGTGAATAAATACCTAGCTAACGGGTCTGTCCTAGTATACGATTTTTAGACCCCCCCCCCCTCCCTCTCCTGTCAATTTTATACATGACCACTTTTTCTACAATTTTCAACAAAATTAGAATATATTTAGGGTTAGGTTAGGTTAAGACACTTTCTGGGCCGAGCGTTCCAAAAATCGTACATTAGGAAATTACCTAGCTATCTGAGGATTAATACCTAGCTAACTGAGGATGAATAAATGAATAAATGAATACCTGGCTAGCTGTGAATGAATGAATAAATGAATACCTGGCTAGCTGTGAATGAATAGTAGGATGATCTTGCTTGTCAACTATATCATAAATACTATCTCCATGAATTAGAAGATCTTCCTAAAATATTGTTTGTTGTATGAATCAGTTCATCAAATAAAAAAAAGGATTTGATTGACAAAATGTTATGAAAAAGATAAACCCGATTTTAGTTTGTTTGAATAAGAAACTATGACACAGCAGATCACAATATTGATTTATATTTACAAGTTTTAAAAATCCATTTCATCATCGCGGGACAAAAAATGATTTGGGAATTACGAATCTTGTAAGGGTGCAGTCTATTAAGTTTAAAGAAGAAGTCAGAAATTTATTTATAAAAATATATCGGGATACGCTTGTGATGAGGAGGCAATGGCTGGGAAAATACTTTTTTTCACTTTTAATTGACTATGGAGATGTTGTTGTTATTTTAAAATCATTAAATCATAAGAATCATTATATTGTCATTTACTAGTTATTAAAAGTTCTATATCTTAGAGCTGTTAAGATAAAAAGACGACATTTATAATTACCATTGAATGCCCGAGATATTCCGCGGCATTTTCTGAAATGTAAAGAAGACGACCGGTCTGTGTAATCATCATGAGGAACCCGTTCAAAGCCTAAAGATTGAAAACATTTAATCAAACATTGTGTCACAAATCACAAAAAATCCACGAAAAAAAGTTTTTAAATCCCTATATACCAATACAGCCTGATAAAATGTAAACCTTTGATAATGATTATTATTTAATCTAGCAGACATCATAGTTTAAAATATCAAAGGTTACAATAACAGAGGGATTAGAAAATGTAATGTAAATGTTAAAGGGACTGTAAAGGAAAAATGAAAGGGGGTATAGGCTGAAAGCTAATCCCTTTAGCTCTTGATCGCGACCCATGAAAGTTTTATCTGATGTTCCTGTCTCGAGAAATTGATATAAAACTGTGTTTAAATTATACGAAAGTTCATACATGTAAAATTTAAAAATCTTAAACTTAAATCACATGACCAGAATTATCACCAATGGCAGAGCAGTATACTGGTCACGTGTCTGCACCTGTATCATGTAACCACTTTACTGCACTGCCATTGGTGGAATTTCTGGTCAAGTAATACGGACGAATAAATAATATTATGAATTAAATCTAAAAAAATAGAAATAACAAATTTAAGAATAGAATTGGAGTAAACCTAAGTTACAATTAGCTTTCTCTGGGGTATCTTCGTTTTCAGATTGGTTTCCTATTTGCTGAATTTGATCTTTTTAAACCCACTACTTTTATACAAAATTGTATATATATTAATTTTCGTATAATTTTGACAAAGTTGTAAATCAATTTCTCGAGATAGGAACATCAGATATATCTTTCATGGGTCGCGATCGAGAGCAAAAGTGATTAGCTTTCAGCCTATACCCCCTTTCACTTTTCCTTCACAGTCCCTTTAATGTAGATCACAAAATCTGCAAAATCTATAGTTTCATGATGTGTAAAAACATGGTGGCTTGAAAAGCAATATTTAAAAGCTACTAAAACACTAGTATATTTGCAGATTGCGTCATTATAGTTAGAATTAAGTAATTAGTGTAATAATTATTTTATAACCTTGGCAAACCCGAAGTTTGTTGTTTCCTGTTTTTCTTTAGCTCCCAGCCCTAGTCCCTTGTACACTAAACATAACAATATTAACAGTTTTCTATCTTAATACTTGTCTAGATGTCTAGTTGTCGAGATGACTAGTTGTCTAGATATCTAGTTGTCTAGATGTCTAGTTGTCTAGCTGACTAGTTGTATAGATTTCTAGTTGTCTAGCTGTATAGTTGTCTAGATGTCGAGTTGTCTAGCTGTCGAGTTGTCTAGCTGTCGAGTTGTCTAGCTGTCTAGTTGTCTAGCTTTATAGTTGTTTAGTTGTCTAGTTGTCTAGTTGTCTAGCTTTCTGTCTCTAACTATCTCGGTGACCATCTGTCTTTTTGTCTCGCTGTCTATCTTTCTAGTTTTCTAGCTGTCTCTTTTTAACTGTCTCACTGTCTATCAGTCTATTTGTCTAGTTTTCTAGTTGTCTAGCTGTCTGTCTTGAACTGTCTTTCTATCTGTATATCTTTCTATATGTTTATCTGTTTAGTTGTATGTTTTTAACTGTCTCGCTGTCTATCTAAGTGTCTCTATGGAATAAAAACCTCTTGTACGTTTCTTACAAATAAAACATCACCGAGTTAAAATTATTTAGATATTTGTCTCTCTGTCTATCTTGGTTTTCCATGTGTCTGTCTGTCTGTATTTCTGTCTAATTGTCCACAGCTGTGCATCTGTCTAACTGTCTAAATTCAAAACATTTTTGTTCTACTTAAAAAGAGGAGTTATGATTGAAAACATAAGATTTTAATCTTACGGGAAATACACTTTAGTTTGCCGTGATATTTATTGGCAAGTTACTTTAGTTTGCCGTGATATTTACTGGCAATTTACTTTAGATTTCCGTGATATTTACTGGCAATTTATATAGTTTGCCGTGATATTTACTGGCAATTTACTCTAGTTTTCCGTGATATTTACTGGCATTTTACTTTAGTTTGCCGTAATATTTACTGGCAATTTACTCTAGTTTGCCGTGATATTTACTGACAATTTACTCTAGTTTGCCGTGATATTTACTGTCAATTTACTCTAGTTTGCCGTGATATGGCTTGACGACTTAGCTACGATTGATGTCTTCAACCCTCAATGTCAATTTTTAACATGAAAAAGGTTAAAAATTGTATAAAAACCAAAGCTCTGCTACTCTACAAGGCTACTTAAACAATTTACTATTTCCGCCGATTTAAATCTATTCTAGGGCGGACTAGAGACATAATAAAAATAAATTGTCTACTCCTGATTTCTAACCTCTCAGATGTTCAAACCTTTCTTGGACCAAAAATTAATTTTGGGCGGAAGTTATAATGTTCGCGTAATGGTAGAAAAGTGGGTTTAATTATTTCGTCTATTCATTCACTGTCTTAGGAGGGCGGGAAGGCAATCAACAACAATTTTTCGTCCGAGCCACATCGTTCTTTATCCTATTCATCTCAAAATTTTTTCACTGAAAACATATATTATTAGGACGAGCATTCGGAGGGGGCTAGAGTGAGAGAATTAGGTGGATTTGGCTCGGACGAGAAAAGAAGTATCATGCGGCTCGGACGAGGTATTGTTGTGGCTGGTCAACCACCCCTTCGTAACTTTATGCATTTTCTAGGCGTAAAATATTGCAAGGAAAGTACACCATAAACCCCGCCTATCTTTATTTACAAAAAACATGTACTGCACTTTCTGGAAGAAATAAAAACAAAATTCTGTTTTTAACACATCTACCTTTTACAAGCAGATTTACAGTAGAAACCATATAAATGTGGAAAAAGAAGACGATCTTGGACTCTTGTTATGATTTTAAATAAACCATTGAACATGAAGCACTGCAATTGTGCAGACTACACAGACCCATTTCACTCAGTGAGCTGATTTTAAAACTACTGAGTCCAAATTTAATGAATTTGAGCCGCGTCTCAAATCCATCAAAAACCCGGTTTTGATTGAGCGCCGGCTTAAATCTTGAAATATTGAATACAAGTTTAAGTGGAACCAACCAAATTTAAGCCGCTTCTCTAATTTAAGCCGCGGCTTAAATTTCTTTAAATTCTGCCTCAAACAAATTGATTTACCCAATTTCTAACTTTAATTGATTAAAGGAAGTGTTCCCCTAAAATTAAAGGGGGTTTAGGCCGATAATGAATTGAATTCGATACATACCAATTACTACTAATGTTTCGCACACTCTCCCTTTAAATCTAAATATGAAAAATAGACTTACGTTTCTCGAAGTAGTTTGTTTTTCTAACGTATACTAGAATTAGAGCCATCAACTGTAACTGAGAAAGTCTTTGTCTAAAAGTAAAAAAATAAATTAGGAAATACAAACATTAATTTAACGGAATTGAATCTTTGCCATAAACTTGAATCCATATAGCTTTGCAACCTGATTGTGTAAACCTTTGATATTTCCACCTTAGATTATTTGATCAAATAGAATCCATAGTTTAAAATACCTAAGGTTGTGAAGATATAGGGATTAGAAAACTAGAAATTGTGGCAAAGAATTAATTCCCCTAAATGTTGTATGCAATTTGAAACTTTGAATCAGTTCATGTTTTGGGGTTTTAAACACAAATAAAATATGAAAATCATCTAGATGGCGAAACGCAAATTAAAAAAGGAGGTTTTGCATAAGTCAAATATCACTTATTGTTTAAATTAACGCAAATCTATTTACCATTCAAACTTATCTTAATCCGTAGTTTGAAGTGGTACTCCATTTATAAAGAGTAATAAGCCATTCACAACGGTACCCTATAAACCATTGTCTGGTCATGCATTATTAGATTTTTTAGTTTAGAAAATTTGGTTTTCTGTGTTCAAGAGACTTGTGGATTTTTGCAGCAGAGTCAATGAAGGATAATGTGAGAATTCAACGCTTTTTAAGATATCTCCTGTAATTGTTACTCGAGTTACAGAAAAAGGTTTAAAAGCTACAGGTGTAAATCAGACATGCCACTTCACCAATATATGGGAGGAACATTTTAAATTATATACGTATTCACTTTTTAAAATTAGGAAGTATATCTAAACTTCAAGTAAATTGACACACATCATTGATCTGTTAACATTATTTAACATTTCATATAAACATACATATATAGATTTCATTTGTCTATACTTATTGGTTTCTTTTTAAGTTTTAGGTTTAAAATTTACATTTTATTGAATTTTAAAAATCAATAATGGTAAAGACAAAAAATTAATCAAATGTTAAAAAAATTAACTAAATGTTAGTAAAAATAACTAAATGTTGAAAAAAATTATCTAAATATATGTTAGAAAAACGAAATATATGTTAGAAAAAATGGACTAAATGTTAGAAATAAAGAACTAAATGTTAAAACAAATGATCTAAATAAATGTTAGAAAAAATAAACAATTGTTAGAAAAAATAAACCCAATGTTAGAAAAAATGAACTAAATGTTAGAAAAAATAAACAATTGTTAGAAAAAATGAACTAAACGTTAAAAATAAGAATCTACCTAGCAGATGATGGTATCGGAAGAAGATCTCTAAGTCTATTTATTTCATGATTGATATGATCTCTCCGCATTTTACTCGCACCTTTAGTTGATTTCGCTCCACTCTCGTAGCTAAAATTTAGAGAAAAAAATAAGAAAAAGCAAGAATATAAAGAAAATGTTTTTGGATTTTTTTTACTCTAAAGAAAGTAATAAAATTTTGAAAAAGGTAAAACTGATTTTTGTTTTTTGACAGCTGTCCAACCCCTGTCGTATTTTTTACCCTCATAAAAAAATATTTTATAGAAAAATGTATGAGAAATCAAAAGTATGAAAAAGATAAACCCGATTTTAGTTTGTTTGATGAAAAAAACCCTTTTCTGAATTTGTTTGTGATTTAATGATAACGTTTTTTAAAAAATGCAAGAATTGACATGACACTAAAAACCCCATATTTGTTTGCTTAGTATGATTAATTAAACATGAAAAAATGAGAGTTAAATTTTTGTGAATATTGTAATATATCTTACCTAATGTTTTGCAAATGGTGGTTTAACGGTGCTTTCATGTGATCATGCATCATGATTGAATAAAATTTATTTTCTCTCTTTAAATTCTAAAATTTCACTTGGTTCATATTGCAAGGAGCACTGCAACTATGTTAACTGGATCACGACCGAAGGTCGACTGCCTTCCTTCTCATCAATTGACTCCGGGCATTTGTCTGCGCCACCGCCACGCCAGATTCAACCAATCACAGGCCAGAGGGAATCCCGAAGATCCAATAAGAATTAAGATCAGCCAGCCAATAGCCCGCCAGCGTTCTGCCCGTGACCGGAAATAATATAGTTAGGCGCTAAATATTTTGACACCAAAATCCACGGAAACATAATATTTAGGCTTAATGCCTAATTAAGCCGAGGCAAAAGCCGGAAAAAGCAGTTTAGAAAATGGTAAACTTGAATTTAAATCGTGACCCAGACAGGGGCAGGACAGAGATCACGATTTCAGACTTTATTAAGAGATAAAGCTGATGAATGGATGAATGAAAAGAGATAAAGCTGATGAATGGATGAATGAAAAGAAGAGATAAAGCTGATGAATGGATGAATGAAAAGAAACTTGCCCCACTGAATGTTAACCAAGTGTTGAAATTTAGGAGAAAAAAATGCAGTGGAAAAAAATGAATTTGAAAAAAATGTAGTTGAGTAAATTAAGATATCGCTGTGCAGTGAAACAGCAAATAGATTCTAGTACCATAGATGAAAACGTAGTACAGCTGTATTCTGACGTCATAAGTGTCAACTTAGTTTTTGTGTCCGACAAAGGTATTATAAATAATGATAATTTTAGAATAAAGAGTTTATCTTACAGTTAAATAAGTGCACTTTTATGTGTTCTACAGTTTCTGTTCTTACACTTTTTTATTTAATCTTGGAAAACATGTCAACTGATGAGAGAAAGTTTCGTTTTCCTTGTTATATTTGACACTTGTGACGTCGTGTATAATTGGTTAATTTCTCTGTTGCCACCTATTGTACTTGATAATCTATTTGGGAAACAGGAAATAATTGAGTTTTTGCCACAAACTCAAATTTTCCAATTTCTATTTCTTTGTAACCCGATGTTGTAAACCTTCGACTGCCATAATTTGAAATATCTAAGGTCGGACAATGGACATCGATATGAAAAGATATAATTAAGGATCCTAAAATCAGAGTTTGTGGCATGGGCAAAACCTCAACTCCTTTGATCTGAGCTGAACTTATCTGTTTTACTTTTAAAACCCTTGAGCTTTTATTTTTTAGACAAGACTGCCATGTTCAATTCACCATGCATATGTCACACATCAAATTCAATGTTTAAGATATCCTAAATTGTTCGACTGAAAAGTTGAATAACTTCGATTGTGTTGTCAGGATATATGTAGAAAACGGAGATTACTTCTTATAGTTGCGCGCGCGCGCTCAGACAAATGTTTACAGGATATGCCACTCTGTAAAATGGAATTACGTTTAAAGTTCCTTTAAACTTCCTTTTCCTAAACATTTTTTATTTTGATATGTTCTTCCTTTCTAATTTCTAAAACTTTTTAATTTACGTTTTTTTAAAAGCTAGATATTTCAAACATCATGATTATTTCACGTTATTCAAACTAGCAATATTGTGTAATTTCTTTATATTTTGGATTCTTGCACGTTTCCTTAAAAACTTAAAAAGAGAAAATTTAAATGCTTACGTAAACAAGGTAAATAAGTCGAATTCTAGCATAATCCGAACCAGTGCAAAGATTTGCCGGTCCATGGTATTAATCGTACACTTTTGCTAGCAACAGCCCGTCTAGTTTACCAAGTGTGTAGTGGACCCTGCGTGTTTTATGCAACAAACTTTGGCTGTCTCTGGACACATGTGTGATTCCGCAATGAACTGCTTCCTAATGTTGAAATTAAAATGTATAAAGTTGAAGAATATTTGCATTATTTGTTAGTTTGTTTAAATTCCTTCACATACATTTTTTTAAAATTTACTCTCTCTGCTAGCTATTTCTGGCGCCGCGGCGCATCATCTAAGAATCGAAAATAAAGTTGATTGGTTTGAGACCGCTCTGCAATTTCAATATTTTCTGATCGGGAATACGAGAATTCAATATATACCTCATTCATTCATTCATTCATTCATTCATCCTTCCTTTCATTTATTCATCCTTTCATCCTTACTTTCTTCTCTACCGAAAAGAGATTTAATGTAATTCTAAAATATTCTGTCTTACTTTAATAATTCAAATTTTATTTCATATTATTAATTGATAAAGATTGCAACATCACATATAACCAGCTTTAAGTTTGGATTCAACAATTAGGTTTAAATCATTCAGCTTTAAAGATCTAAAGCTTCCTGGCTTTTGCAAATCATTCCCAGGATTGTTTAAACGTTTTCAATTCTAAACAATGTATAGGAACTGTTTATATCACTGTAGTTTCAGTAGAAGTAAATATTTCCATAATTACTATTAGCGCCGATTGAAGAATTCATAACTCTGATTGGATAATGAGATAGATAGAATAGAATAGAATAGAATAGACAACAAACACATTACTGTACCTTGATTGAATTAGGCGCTGATGGACTCGGCATGCAAGTGTGCCCTATGAAATAGACAGAAGGATATTACTAGTACGATTTTGTGACCTAGTATATATTTTGTTTTTCACTTTACGCACAAGTACGACAAAATCAAATTTATCCGCGGTTACATAGCAGAACATATCTGGAGCAGTTAGAAGATCCAGTCAAACATAGCAGACACTCAAGGAGCAGCTAGAAGATCCAGTCAAACATAGCAGAACATATCTGGAACAGCTAGAAAATCCAGTCAAACATAGCAGAACATATCTGGAGCAGCTAGAAAATACAGTCAAACATAGCAGACACTCTAGGAGCAGCTAGAAGATCCAGTCAAACATAGCAGACACTCTAGGAGCAGCTAGAAG